ACTCGGTAGTTCATTTGTTATCTCAGATCTAGGGTATTCTGAGCAGACAACTGTTCATAAATACCTGTACTCCATTTCAGAAGCTTGTGGTAGTTCTCCAACTTTCGGCTCAGTACAGTAAAACTGTTTTGACATTTTACATGTTAGAAATTCTGACTTTGATCATGCATGATAGTACTTCAGAGTTTCAGACACTCTAACTGCAAGAAACTTTCCCTTACTTTGACAATTCGTGTCTTTACATCTGCATCAGATCCTCCCAGTTTATCAACGATGGTGCCTAGTTAGATGAGGCTTCCACGTATCCCAGAGCTCCGTCATCACGTGTGACTTTGGTTGTGCTCGCTATGTTGTGCTTCAAATTCTTGCTTTTTCCCTTGTGTATGTTAAGGCTTATATATATGATTGTTATTCATACTTAGACGTATAGGTTGAGATCTTCAATAGGTACATAGTCGACTCCCTTCAATAGCCCACTTTTTTAAGGTGCCAAATTAGTGGCATAAGTACCCTACGCTCGCCTAATGACTCTAGTTTCGGTTCTTCATATATTCTTGTGTGCTTACTCCGGAAGAATCCTGTGCTAAAATGTAACAGATATCTGTCATTCTCGGATTTTCAGTAATTATCATTTCAAGATCATTCACTTGTTCAAACTATCTCCAAATATCATCAGTTAACTTATAAAGATTTGTATTTTCCAATTATTGGTATTAATAACAGTAACTGATCAGCCTCTATTGGCATATGTACATCCCGTGAGCATTACTACGACACTACCATTTAGTCGCATGTTTTAGTACAAGTGGATTGCAGCTAGCAGTAGAACCCAATATGCTCTTCCCGTCATGTTTGGGACTTGTCAGTTAGATTTTTGAGGCGATAGGTATACGTTTCAAACCTCAAAGTGAACACCAAGACTGGAATGAAGGAACATCCAAATGACAAGTCTCAAATATGACAAAGCACAAGTCCTACGTTCTATTGATAACTGAAATTCAAGCTGAGAACTAACAATCATTTATCAATTTTAAAAGTAATTTCCATTCTAAATCGATATCATTTAAATAACTACAAAAAAATTACGGTTTGTTTCTAGAATTCTTGAAAACTGGATTACTGAGTTCATATAATGGTCAAACTACAAGTTACGTTAACTACATTCAGGATTATTTTTAAGATTTGCATCGTTAAGATTCAGCTGGATATATCAAGCATTTACTAATGATGTAACAGCCAACATATTCACGAAATCTTATTCTTCATGCATTACTCATGGTAGTTACATATAAAATTAATTACATTATTAATTTAGATCTGTACTGTATTTATATTGAAAACAAAAGTAACATTATTAGTCACTGTGATACTATTACAATTGATTGATAATTTGTCCATGGTTGTAAGTTTTATTGTCAACTAAATCAAGACACGATTATATATTCTTCATGTCTATACTATCGATAATCCTATAAATCTAATCTAGATAAATAAAGAAATAACGAATGAATATTAACTGACCTTGAGATAAAAGTCTGTCATATGATTCTAATTTTTTTTGTATTTCTTAATATACCACATCGACTGATAAAAATATGGGTGTAACCTTCAAAATCCATTGATCCGAGTGAAAATATGGAAATGTTACTTCTCGAGAATAAATTTACTTGGTGACGAGATATTTATACGTCAATCGGTTGCCCAACCTGAATAAATGATATGATAGGTAGTGTCGTGTGAAAAAAACTCAATTGACTTAAAAGAAGCAAGACAGCGTTTAATGTGTCAAAAATAAGTGCCAAGATGAACCTTAATGGATAAATTGGTTAAAGAATAGTATAAAAACAAGACGATCAGAATCTACAAGCAACTTTTAAGTTGGCGTAAAATTTAGATAGCACAATACTGTCTTATGCGGGCACTTATTGTTGTAGTTATCGAATTGGCCTTAATCTTATGTTCATACTATTGCTGGTTGCTTACATTATAAAAATGTACACGTATTCTATATATTAAGTGAGTTGTCTGGTAACTATTTCTTTTGTTCTTCTTCTTACCGGTTTTCATTACGCTGTGCTCTGTACGCCTCCCAAGCATATAAAGTACTTTCAGATTAAACGTTAACAATTAGACGTATAATGAGCACTGGAAATATATGTGCAGTGCTCAGAATGAATAAAATGATAACGGAAAACTACTTTACGTTATAATGGAGTAAAAATCATAATGTAAGCCCTTTCAACGCTTAATTCTCTGTAGATTGTATATAAAAGACAAACAGATTTTTTCCCTAAACCCTTAGTCTTGAAACGTACTTAGCGCATTGGATCAATATTTTATGGATGAACTAATTAGATTACACCTTACATTTCGGGGCGAAGTTTGCTTATTTACGGGGCAACAGGGCATTTTTGCGCCATAGTTGATGTCAATGCTGGACGAAAACTCTCACCCTAACCAAAGACAATGTGAGGACTCGTAGTTTTCAATCGATTCAGTATGCAGAACCTATGCAGGCCCACTCAGCTGTTGAGTTCCAACTGCGACGCAACGTAGGTCCTGGATTTTATTGCTAGTCACCATCCCACTCTCCTTACAATGCTTATGATTTAATGGCACACATGCCAAAACACTCATCAATTGCAATTCTAAATATTAATGGGAAGATTCAGACAACCAATACAAACCTATTTAGCCTTCGTAATATATTCGATTTTCACAAGCTATTGATTTCCAAATGTTGTTTTAGGATTGGTTAAAAAAAAGCTGAAAAATTGTCGCGGTTCTTTTACGATTGTCCCTAAACTCTTACCAATAAATCTAAACAAAAAATTGAGCGTTAGTAAAAGGGTTGTAAGTCATGCATGAAATTTTTGACCTTTATTTGGATCTTTTGAACCCAAGTAGGATCAATAGTTAACTATAAAATTGGATAGTTAAACAAAACGTATAAAAATAAATGGATCATGATGTGCTACTGACAGATCTAAAGTTCCCAACCTTTAGAAATAACTTTACATAGATCAAGGAGCACACAGCATGTATACCGAATATCTCATCTCAGGTTAAATACTGAAATCGTTTGATTTTGGTCAAGTATGTAATTAAAACATAGTATCAGAACAATTGTTTCACAAGGTGATCACCTCAATTATGACGTGGCATCACCTTATGATTTGTCCGCATGCAATCTGGTACAACGTAATGCTAAATATAATATAAAATGTTTTTACGACCATTAATAAAGATCACTATGTAACCATACAGATCGATATATTATCGAGTCAAAAATAACCCTGATATTTCAATAACAGTTCATCACATCCAGACAAGTCTTTCCGTGATGAATACGAAGGATATTTATTCTTGATGTCTAAAGAATCTTGATTAGTAGTAAATTTTACCAACCTAAAGAATTGATCAAAGATCTTGAAAAATATTTGCTCTTATGAATACTTTAACACTTCACAAACAGTAGCATAAGTGATGAAGTTTCGTAAGGAATAAGTGACACAGGTTTCCTAACACTGGAAAGCGATAGAGCTGGATATGTTAGTCGCCTATAAGAAGTACATGATGTGAAGTTTTACTATATCCAGTTATTTATTTGAAAATATGAATATTCGTACGAAGGGGCACCGAATACATATGCGCCACACAATTCATTTCATTTGTGTGTGGGCCCGGGTGCACAGACCGAAGCAGGTGGTTTTCCTAGGGGGTCACACTAGGAGACGTTGACCTTAAATTCTGATCCACAAGGCAGTGGAGCAACGTAAGGAGATGCAGTCCTATGGTAGCCGGTGACCAACGATTGGTTTATACGCCATTTGTCCCCTTAGGATCCTGGAATCCATGTGCACCATTGGTTTGGAGTCAGGATTTTTCAACTCCCCTCCATATCCATCAATCCGGTTAAGACGCCGGACATTTGTTTTTCGTCCTCTCAATTTTGTGAACAATAGTAATGCCGCGAGTGTATACACGTGACCATGTGAGCATTTTGAGAGGGAGAGCAAACTCTTCCCACCCTCGGTCGTACCAATGCATCGGGGGGCTAGCCAATCCTCGAGATAATGCAATACGAGGCCGACCCGTGGACGAGGTTGAGCAAGCTCACATCACCCGTCCGGGAGTGAAAAATACAGGTAATTTCATTGGTCTCAGTTTAGAGACCGTTGCAGAAATTACTACACATGATCTTAGCTTAGAGAGCTGAGACTGTCGTTTGTTTTATTTTTTGTAGCAGAAAAACACCTCTCCAAGCCATACTTTTAATAACTTGTTTTTATTCACCTATCCCTTCAGTTTTCATTTCGACATAAATGTCAGGATAAGAATTAACTAATACCTTATCTAAATGTTTTTATCATCAAATGCTTATTTACAGGAGTAAATATTACTAACTTATATCGAGTTCAAATAAAAGTTAACTGATGACAACTAGTGGTGGATTTAATGAAAACAAAAGAATTATAAATACAGATCTTTTATACGAAAAGAAATGCATACATGTATTTAGGTAGTGTAGTAAGCTGGAAGAAAAACTAGTGTAATTCTACACAGAGCTTTACGGTCATTACAAATTTAAGTGGATTATTTGAATCGTTTCTGGTAGCGATTAGAACTGAAGTTAAACTACTGAATTAAAACAGCATAAAGTTGGATTCGTAATTTTTTAAAAAATATAGTATTATTTAGAAAATGAAGTTTGTCGAAAAACTGATATATGGATGATTTGGTCAAATAATAATAACGCCAGTTCAAGAATGAAAATGAATTTGATATTAACAGAGAAAATTCAAAGGAAGAAGCTTTAGGGTGAGTATATTGTATTTGTGAGGGTAGATAATAGAAATCAAGCACTTGGCCAACTGACGATGGAAGGATAAATCGTAGGAACAATAGTGTAACAAAAGCTAATATATACAATGTGAAAAGCCTCAAAAGTTAAAACGAAAGACTGTACATGCTGTGAATAACCTGACTTGAGTGCGAATTTATTGAATGCTGAACTTTGTGAACGGTCTACAAAGAGAAAAATAAAAGGCGCGATGTTGGAAGTCCAAAAGCTATAAAGATTAAATTCTTCACAAATATTATACAGTTAGTGACATTGCTGAATAAGGTGTCGCCCTAAACCTACTTCGTTCGAATGTTTAGTAACATAATCAGAAGCATCATCATTAAGACGGTAAGGTTGAGTTAAACTCCATAAAGACATGTCGCTCTAAGTTATGGTTCATAAATTAGAATTTACGAATCAATGGTGAATAGTTTGTAGAGACTGTTGACGCCGAATACTGAATAATGAACGCGACACCTCATCACTTAAATTGGAACCACGAATGTGCAACTATCTTTCCGTATACAAGCATGTGTAGTTAGTAGATGATTAGAAAGATTTCTGTCTGTCTTGACTGAATCCCACGTATTTTGTTTGGTTGTACGGCAGTCAGGCGAAAATGACATAGGATACTGCATAACTATGTATTACTTCAAACAGATACAATTTATGTTAGAACAGTGAGAGGAAATTATTGGCCAAGTCGGTCGATAAACAGTCCCTGATATTTATGTTTCCATTACAACAATGATTTCAAAGTACTGAATACGATATCAATAAAAAAGAAAACATGAACATGAAGTATAGATTACACTGAAATCCTTATAAAACTTTCAGAAATTGGTTTATTCTATGCATCAATTTTCGACTAGCCAGTAACTCTTGTCAACGTTGATATTAATTTAATCATGGGAACAATCTATGATTGTTGTTTTGCGTCATATAGGGAAATGCAGATTTTTGGAGAAGGGTCTCTAGATGATAGAAACTAGTGATCCAAGATTATAAGTGGACTACCTCAAATACGACAGACAAATTCACTCGTATTTCGCACAAGTAGTCCATTTTATTCAGCCGTGGATGACAAGTTAGTAGCTATCAGTTATTTTTCGACAGTCTTCTTATTGGATGACCATATATTGCAAACTGCTCAAAACTAGTGTCAGAAGTTATTGCAACAACACAACCAGTTATTGTTGTAAAACTATTCAGTGAAAACAATGTATAAAGTATAAGGTATTAGCTGAATTATGAGAACAAGTATCAATCATTTACTTTAGTGAGGCTACTGGCACGCAACAGCCGAATGCGACCACCGGTATAGAGTTGTCTACGTGAAATTGATGTCCTTGAAAAAAAGTGAATAACAAAGATTGATAAGGTGGAAACATTGGGTTGATAAACAAGGTACAAATCTTCGAAATATGGTCTGAAAATGTATAGAATGATTTTGAGTAACCAGTAAATCAAAACAAATCTAAAAATAATCATAGTGTCTGTTTACAAATGTTGTTATTGTGGTAGTGGTAAGTAAACAATGTAGAAATATCATTATATATGTAAATTATATTTGAAATAATCTCAGCCATTGAAATTTGAATAATTCCAAGGTTTTCTTCAGCTAACTTGTCTGGACGAAAGTAAATTAATTGGTGAAAATGTGGATTGAGTTACGCTAGTCGGATTAGAGTGGGAGAACCAGAGCGGTTTAATGTAACTCAAGTATTATCGTCTTACTGAATACTGAATGGATACATAATCTTGATTTATTTAGCAGGTGAAATATTAAGCCATGTAATGTTGCAGCATAATAAATAATGAATTTTAAGTGGGCATAGACTCTTATTTTTATTAACTTTCTGCATACAATTTGACAATACTAACTGGAAAGTACACGGCTTTCGTCAAGGAGGTCTGTCTGGAACTGAATAATATCTGAAGAAAATAACATACAATCTACAACTTAATCACGAAGATAAAATACTTAATGATCCATAGAACAGTTTATAAATTTTATTGGATCGAAACGAGTTCTTTTTGAGCTTTAATAATGCTAAAATATGGGTCGAAAAAGGAAGAATAAAAAATGTTTCCAAAAAAACGTTCTAACCTTGCTTGAGTGCATAGCTTAGCTGAGTCGGCATCCGACTAGCTGGTCTGTACTTCAAAAGTGGATCCAAACGACCAGGTTGTCTCTTATGCTAATCAAGGGAATGGATATAAAAAAGCTTCACAAAATAAGGTTGTGAAATTGTTGGATGACGAAGGCAATCTACTTTACATACATACAGAGCAAAAACTGAACGAATATTACAGGCAGTTTAAATTCTCTTAAACTAGTGAGTCGCTTCTTAACGGAGTTTATAGCTGGGATTGAACTAGTTTTTGTTAATCTAAGCGTTGAAATAGGAATGTTAACGATAAACGGTTGTCCTCAGTTCATTCTAACACTTGGACCGAGTAAATTTTGACAGAAACCATCTGTAAAATACGTAAAAACTAGACTTATACTTGTCTTATCATTAGAAACGAAACATTAAGGTAACCAGCGAAATACGAAAACAAATTTGGCTACCTAACTGAGTGATATGGTGGAGTCTTACAGTTAGGCCCTTATCTGTTGGAGAATGAGCGATCTACGTGTTGGAAACGATAAATTCCCCAAAAACTCACATTTGTGATTTTATCGATTAACTTATCGATTAAAGGTTTAAATAGCAATCAATTGACGAATGTTTAAAAATTTAAATGACAATATCGATTATATATATTTGTATATATATGTTTTAAATTGTTTTTGTTGGAATCGCTCGTTCCTAATTGTTGCAGAATAAAGCTAGACAATTACAGCACATCACTAACCAAGACTTAAAAATACAGCTGTGAAATGTAAATTGATTCTCCATGTACATGTGGCAAGTAGTTAACATTAGATTAAACATGTAGTTACTAGACATGTTACACTACCGAAAGGTTGAAACCCAAATTATTTATTAATTTTAACACTTAAGTATAGGTACAGGGAGGCACCAAATACATATGAGCCACACAAATCTCAATTGATTTGTGTGAGGGCTGTGATACTGCCCGGGTGCCCGAACCGAAGCAGGAAACCCAAATTATCATATACGAAAATATTAATATACTGATAATTTAGATTTTCTACTAACTCCTAAATAACTCAGTGTATAGCGCTTCTCTCTTACCCAACTGGCTTGATCCCTTTCTTCCAAACGTTGCTTTAGTTCTTGTTCTGCAGTACGCTGGCGCGATAAGCGTTCGTGACGAACTTCCTCAATTTCCAAACGCGAATGGCGAGCAAGGAATGTTGGATCTGATATGTTTTCCTCCAAAACACCAACTGATTTGACAGGTTCTCCAACTTGGTAATGCTCTTTTTGTGTCTGGGAAGATCTAGACCTGGGTTTTGACCTAAGTTCTGGAGTTGGATAATTTTTATTTGAATGGACAGAGTTAATAGTCAGTAAGCTGGATCGTAAGGCGCGGAGATTATGTGATTTAAGAGTATCCATATCTGTTAGTTTTTGTCTGTCTGGGTGTTTTTTGGGGCATGATTTGGAATGTTTTGCCCCACAAGAACAATCCACATAGATCTCAACACCTGGGATAGGTATAACACGCCAGCTAGGAACTAAACAAAGAAATGAGGATTGTATGGTGAAAAATCGTAATAATAAAATATGGAGACAAAACTGAATACCTAGTCGACAAATAATTTTAGCTACAAATTATTTCTGAAACGTATATTGTCTAGTTCCTCTATATATGAATCTTCTTTTATCACAAGTTGCTGTGGAGAAGCGGTGTGCTTTGTGTGTATTGTAAAAGAACATTAGTTAAAGAATGAGGGTCATAGAAATAATATACATAAAAACAACAGTAATTCATGACGATACTGACTACAATACTTAACATTTTGGGAATTAGTAGGCTTAATGACAAAATCACTTGACAATAAACCAGTGGATTGCAAGTTTAATCATCAGTCCATCTATTTTAGCTTCGGCACCCAAGTAACGTGGAAAACATGCAGTCTAAAACCAAATAAACTTACAGTTAACTAGTTACATGAGTCAAAAACTTTAGTTTTGAAAAGGTTACCATGATTATAAGAGTGGTAGAATGGATTTCTGTGACTTAATGTGTACTTCAGTCATAAAATAATAACAGGTAGGTCTCTAACATCGGTAGTAGTGTAAAAGTTTTGTCATGATTCGCTTGATGAGCAATAATGTAGAATAACATTGTGATTGTTTTTCGTTATTAAATTTCAGCAGCTTGATTAATTAACAAACTAATGGAATATTTTTGAACCAAAAAGCTATTAATTGAAATTCTTATGTATTCTTATTTCATTAGAGTTGATTAAAAGCATCAAAACCTTTGAAGTCCGTTTTTCTCTTAGTTCACATAAAAAGTTAACAAAACCTAATGACAGATATATATATTCCATAACGCCGTCGTCTAAGCCTACAAACTTAGCTGGTTAGTAATGTACATCTGCCAATCAATTACTACTTTTACATGACTTACTTTTTTAGCCCCCAAATTGAAGAGATAACCTTATGTAATAATACTTCCAAATAAAATTGTGGTCGAAAATTGACGAGATAACAGCAAAAATATAACTTACCCTCAATAAGAACTGCTGAATTGGACATCCTTGGTATACCTCTCGACTCCGTCACATGAACTTGAACAGTTTCTGGACTTCGGGGATGACGGTTAGTAAAATCTGGTACATAATAATATGACTGAGTAGTGAGATAGGTAGGTTTTCGATCATTACACGAAGGCTCAGTAGTTTGTGCATTTAGTTGTAAAAATTGAGTTGGTTTTCGTGTACGAGGTTTAGTGGAAATTTCTGGATCTGGTAATCCATGAATCGAAGGTTCAATAAGCTGATCAACAGATTTCCGACGCTTTGGTGGTTCCTTGTTTACAATCATAACTTTATCTTTATTTTTCAACTTCACATCACATTTGTTATCGTCAGAATTATCATATCTTTTAGATACTGAAGATACAGGAGACAATCTGCTGGTATTACGTGAGCGACTCACGTATCGAACATCCATAGGATTCTGCCCACTAAGATGGCCAGTTATTTTATTTAAATGGAGGGAGTCCTTTGCACAAATAGAAGTGGCGGGTATTTCCTCTTCAATCACAAAATGATTCTCATCCAATAATGAATCCGTACTGCGTGTAGAAATACGTGTCTGGCACTCTGTGGGATTAGTTCTAACGACGGGAGTAATTTGGGATCGATACTGGTAAACCGGGTGTGGGGAGTTTTGGAGGCACAGATATTTCGGATGAGAAATTACTGGAGTTTCGCTAGAGTTCGGGATGCGTAAAGAATATGAAACATTTGATACAGAAAGGTTGGGGGAGTTGATTGAAGTAGATGGAAAGAGCGGCAGATTTGATGGAGTTACCCCAGAAGATAAAGTTGAATAGCTTATGTTTGAATTCTCATAATTAGATTTAAGGTTTACATCCACGGGATTTACGATCTTATCAGTTAGTTTCGTAACACGGCGAGCTAAAAGAAAGCAGAGAGAAAATGCAATTACCATGAGAATGCTACGGTTTACATAAAAAGTCAGACTATTTGATCAGGATTTGTATGGATATACTAAAATATTGCCAGATCGTAAAGTTGATGAGACTTACAATTCGTAGTGTTCTGCATGAAAAATTCGAGAATCAGGTTTAATTTATCACAACTCAACATTAATTGAATTCAAAATATAACATCGTACTAATTTACTTAGAATGATAGTTGATTTCCGATACAACATAACGTTCGAACGAGATAGAGACCGTAACTTATGATTCTAGTTTCTTAAATAGTCTATTACACCTGATAGTCCAGATACAACTTTTGTGGAGGATGAATAAACATATTGTAAGTGTCTAAACAGTTTCGCATATCCTCGATTTAAAAACTAATCGTGATGGTAAAAAAGGCGTTTAAAATGAAATATCCTGCAAAAGAAACAGAACCAGATACTTTAGGTGTGAAGTAGTATAGTAATGAAGGATTTTCATCCTAACAAACGTTACATCAAAAATCACCTCAATTAATCATGAGGTTGATAGACAGACATTAATTTCGTTAGGGTTTGAGAGACATATAAAATATACATCTTCCAATTACTTATTTCAAATAACTAACCATGTTTGTTTTTGTTTTAAATATTTTGTACGCAACCATGTCATTTAACTTGTGAAAATATATTTTTCGAGCAGTCGTGTTCTTTTCGTTACATTTCACTCTTAGACTAACGTTAATAATTTAGTGCGGCAAGCATATAACAGTAGACAAAATTGTGTAGCTACGTATCACTTATTGACCAGCGTCTTAATTATCATTTCAACCCAAAACAAGTCTTTAAAACTCGTATTCAACACTCACTGACGTATTATGAAGTTTTTCTTCGTAATGAATAATTTTGAATCACATAAAGAATGAGGCAACTAAGAGACTACGCTGAAACAGTGAAAATGGTGAATAATAGCAAATAAGACTTACAACGTTTAGCAGTTTTCAGGTCCGTATTAGAAAGGTAAGGTGATGGTCTTTTCTGGCCCATACTGTCGTGATTACGTCGTATTTCTTCAGATTTGGTTTTACGAAACAGAAATGGTTGGGCTTTCTACTGAAATGGCTGAGGAACAGATACAACTTACAAACTTTATAGATTGCAGAAGGGAAGTTTGTGGACCTAATTCATTCAAAGCATTTTCCATTGGATGTAGATGGAGCCGTTTCAAAAGACCAAACATTGGTTGAACAGCTGTAACCATGTTAGGTTTATCTGAAAGACAAAAATAACAGTTTTACTAGTGAATTCACTCTTCTAATCTTCATCAGATAATTAAAAGATAACTGAAAAATAATCGTTACACTTCGAATCAAATCACAAAACCTGTCTTTGGTTTTAAATAACTGTTCGTACTATTTCGACTTTGTGGATGTCAATAATTCGTCGTTAAACTAGCAATTTGAACAAATGTTTACTAGCCGTTTAAGTAAAGTTAGATTACTCTTTCTATATTAAAGCCAATGGTTTGAACCAAGCATTTTTGTATCGTCGTATTTTAAATGCGTCTATCTACTTTACCTCAAAAAAACCCACATAACGCCACACGTCAGTTTGTAGGCCGCAAGAAACGAAATGAATGATCCTGGTGCGTTTCAGATACAGAATTCCTTTGGACTAATTTTGTCGCAGTCACATTGGTATGACCTCTAGAGATAGCTATTAAACAGACAGTACCACTGACCATTATTCTATATTGGTACGTGTAGTGTCATTAACGGGGTGACTAGAAATTAGAAAAACTCCTTTACCAAGAATCTCGTTAATTTTATAATATAAGGCGAAATCAACAAGGTTCTTGGTAAATAAGTTGGGATGATAGGAGTATCAATGATAGCTAAAAGACTAAAGATAAAGGACGCTGTCCGAAAAGGAAGGTAAATTTTTAACATGAGAAGTATGGATTGACGTTGGGAATCAAAGTCTAAATTACGGTAGAGTGAATATACATACAATCATGAACCAAATGAAGATGCGGATTTGCTGCACGTTTTACGCCAAACATGAGCAACAAGTGGAAGGGATACATCACCCTATAAACCCCACTGTGGAGAATGTATATTCTTTTACTTATTTCACAAAAAATTAGTACAAGTGGGTGCCAAGAAATAGTGTGATCCACACTGAGCTATTGGAATTTACATTAAGATAATGGGACCAATGCAGATCAAATTAATAATAAAGCCACATCAAAATTATTTGAAGACATTTAAGGTGATTAGATTTAATTAAACAGACCTCAGTGTGAACTACAATAAACTGTTTAAGGATGCATCAAGTTCATGGACACTAATGGTTGTAAGACTATGCGGTACAATTTAACAATGCCAAACAAGAGGTCAAATCTAAGCAAACTACTGAAAAATGCAGTTTCCTCTAGTGGTACAATGAGAGGCTTATATATAAGGTGACCAGTCTTTTTGGGAATAAGTGATGTTATGTTTGAATATCATGACTAAAATGATAGTGAACGCATTCAAACCTTATAAGTGAAGCTGTTCAATTGCTAGTTTTTGTCTAATGTTCGGAAGTATCCCGTTAGACTCAACCGGCGAATGAGCACACTCAGGGAGACTACCGAGTGCCTGAGAAAAAATGTAAACCCAAATTAAACTACTTTAGCATACATAATTCTTCAAATACTTCTAAGTACCTACATGCGACAACAGGAACTACTGTCAGTCGGACGGCTACTAGCATCTTGGCTAGTAATTAACAATATTATTGGCAAAAAACTGAGACATTTATGGAAATTGAAGCACCTACTAAAGGGAACTGACTATAGATTGTCGTCCTAAATCAATTTACAGCGTATATATCACTTTTTTACATTAATTTTCGGGATGTATATATAGCTCAGCGGACAACAGAAAGAATAGAAACAGTTAACTCACGAAATACTCAGCAAGTCAAAAAATCAAAAGTGTAATAACAGGAAACGCAATGTATCAGGAGATTGGATGACTCCAGTGGTTATCCTACACTTCAGCACGCATTTGAAGTATTACAACGGAACAAAAAATTGGCAGCAGACTTCAGTTTGAAAAGATATTTTCACAATAAAAGTTTTAAGACGCTGCGAAAACCCACCGGATACTCACATAAAGAACCACAGGAACAGACAACGCACAAATCCTCGCGCCTTAAGACACCAGGCAGTACAAATAAACACGAGCGCAACACTGCCAAAATCCAATATATTGTTCATGAGCTTATGAAAATCGATTGATTTCTCTGTCATTGCCTCTTGTTGTTTCGGTACGCTCGTAGGTCTTTGATAGTGACAGTCTAGCCACTCGACTTTAGTATTTCTACTCAGTTTGGTATCTAGTTGTGGATTTGTACATCTAATGCTAGTGAGTGGGTTTGTCTCAGAGCATCAGGGTTTCTTGAACCAGAAAATGTGAGAAATAATATGACGAAAACTCGAATGCTATAAGTGAACCACCGCTTCAAGCGGTAAATAAATAAATAGGTCACTTAGGTTGGGAGAACACTCCAAATGGGAGAGTCTTTCAATGAGAACAAGTGAGAGCGTGACCGAGCTTTCTCTCCTTGATGTGCAGTTTTCCAGTGGTTGGCTTGCTAATCATGTTGATAATGTTCTGGTGGGATGCACGTGTTGGAGCGACTCGGCATACTCTATGTTGCACATCATTATCAGATTACTACTCACCCTCTTATAGCTCAGCGAGAATAATTTCAAGTGTCGTAGTCTGTCTTTGTAAGATTATTCTTCAACCTGCTTAGTTGTCTGTCATCATACTTGGTTTGAGACACTTATGTCTCGTTTGAGGTGTGGAGACTCAATACTGTAGACTTTGGAGTGATGTTTCGGGTACGTGTTAAAGTGAAGGAAACAATTATGGGGTGATTGCACTAAGTTGTCTTTGCATAAAGTGAAGAGCTGCATTGGCTTCAGCTAACTCCCCAATGTAGTTTCAGATGGTGTCTAAGCTCTCTGTGAAAGTAGCTCGAGATTCCGCCCTAAGCAGACAATAGGAAGCGAATTTCCATGAAGCACATAAGTTATTTGTGTCAGGTGAGGCAGAATATTCGTGACATAACATTTCGACTGGTTAAGCGTTAACCCACCGTCTACGGCCCATCCCTCTGTCGTTGTATGAACCTTTTGGAGCTCGTGTGAACCGTTTTCTTTTCCTATGGACCTACACATCTTGCTATCACTTGGGCATTTGACAGTCGGAAAGCTAATTTTATCTAAGAGGTCATCATTAAAACCAAGAATAGAATTCGAACCTAAAGTGGTTCTTTGTGAGACTTCTGATGTTGAGAGAGCCTACCTCGCGAACACACCACACATGAATGGGACATATCCGGTCCTATCAGGTTATCCAGCTACCCCATACTATGAGAAGAAATCAACATCCAACAGTTTTATGGAGAGTTATTCGAAGTGGATTGTTACCTTGGTGTTACGGTCCCCAATGAAGTGCAATGGGGGTAATATAACGTTTGATAGCTCCGGTTCTGGAGAATCAAATGATTTCTCGATGTTTATTTGATTTAAATGGACTCTTTTATCTCACTTGATAGGGTGGCAAGAACCAGTAGCTGCCACGTTACCGCGCAATTGATAGGTTAGTTGTAATGTGAAAAACTGGGAAATTAGACTGCAGAGTAGTCAAAAGATAACGGTCAGAATAAGTAAATTAATTGACTGCGCTAAAAATATAGGCGACTAGACGCGTGAAAATGACAGATGAACGAAGCTGACTATGAACAAATTAGGTAGAATATGTTGGTGATAATCACAGTATTAATTATAGATGTTAGTAATGATGGATAATTGGCGGGATAGTAGTCAGATTGGATAATAGGTGCTAAACGTCTTTCCACGCTCTGGAATAAAACTAGCACCTATTTCAAGCATAAGATGACGGAGTTTGAGTGTATGCACGATGGCCTAATCTCCTTTAAGAGTTATCTACCGGGAAAACTGTTGTCATATTAGCTCGAAGAAAATTTCGGATGGAACTGACCTATTGTGAGAACGTGTGCGATCTTCCCAGTGTCTGTTTTTTGATGTGGAGTCTTCTGACGACTATCTTGTAGTGTGCGTTGGTGGGTTTCAGGAGGAACTTTTGTGTCCCGGTAACCAGGGTTACTTAATTTGTTATACACCATCATCAGTTCGTCTCATCCGCCAAATTTTCAGGGCGAGGCCGTTCTTGTGACTTAAAGTCTTAGGAATTGTTCTCGGGTAAAAGTTTTAAGCTGTTTTCATATAAATTGAAGAGTTTTGTGTACTTCGGCCGCACCCCTAGTATAGTTTACGCTAATATCGAACCGTGTGGAGACAACTTAAATTGGATATTCATAGTGGATACAAGTTGTTTGTGTCACATGAGGTTGGGTGTTCACAACTTCATGTTCAGTCAGGCATAAACTTAAACGACTGTCTTCCGCCTATTTCCCCAACGACATGAAAACTTCTTAAGACTCATGTGAGTCCGCTTCAGAACCCATGAAGCTTCAGCATTTCACGTCATCAGTGCAGATGATAGCTAGTCAGTCTATTGAAAGAAAACTAGGAAAAGAAAGAGTTCCATGTGAGATCTCCAGTTTGAATGACTCTTGTTCATCCTTGTGTGAAATATTTGGCTCTCCAAATAACTTCGAGGGCAGAAAAGAAGTGAGGCTGTGCGACCGATCATAAACAGGTCGGATACTTCTTATATCTTTTTTCAAACAATAATTTCGCTGTGCTTTTAGTATATTTGTTGTACTCAAATTTTAAACTTGTTTGTTTGTAACCTTGATCCCAGACGTCTTCGGTTTCACGCTGCTGTTTTGGCATTTTAGAAATTGTGCTCCTGAAACTCTAACATTGACGGCTTGTTGTGTAATTGTTATAATTATTATTAAAAAACTCTATCTGGTTTTTCGAATTGGATTTTTTTTGTATTCGCCGGTTTCATTTAGTTAAGTGCAAATTAATTTTAATTTTACTTGGTAAAACTGTCTGTGTGGGACGGAGATATACTATGATAAGAAGGAGTGAAATGTAATCGGAGGATTTCGCATGACTTATTTGGAAGAAAATGTTGCTCGTGAGCGAGTTAGAGATTTATTCACCTATAAACCTGTTGGATACTCAGCTGATTGCTTGGCCTACCTTGTGGTCAGACTGTGTGTAATATATAAAACATTGGACTTTATGAGATATTTGTCTGATATTAATTCAACAAATAACTGGGAAACAATTTTTTCACGCCTAACATTATATTTACAGAACAAGTAGTTAGAAGTTACTTGAATGACCATGATGGCCACCAATGTACCCAACTCTGAATAATTAGTTGCCTTCATAGAAGAAAGGCCCATGTTTGTTCTAACACCGTATGATAGGCTGGCACAATGTAACTGGAAGACTAATAGAAAAGATTGTGAAGGTCAAGTTAATAGTAGAGCATGCATTAATGTGATAAATCATGTGATAAGTGACTCAACAAAGTTTGTAACTAGCGAGTTTTGGCAAGATTATCATAGGGTGTAAGATTGTACAGAGTAATAAAAAATGAACGTATTGTAAGGAGACACGGACAGGATGTGGTCTTTGTTATCTGAATTTAAGGAAGGGTCATATAGCTAGATCATGTGACTCGGCCGTAAACTGTGACTTCAACAACTGAAAGTTTCAATCCATTTAATGCTACAAATTGGTAATAATTATAACCATGTAATGAAGTTTGAATGGAATTTGAACCCCTCAAATATTCATTTATGTATTATTCCAATCAAGCTATTTAGTATCAAAAGATGTTTCTAAACTCATGCCCTTTTAGATAGTGGCTCTGATACTTCTCTCGTTTGTGAAGAAATAACTTGTCAGTTGGGTCTCGAAGGTAAATAAGCCTTAACAAACACAACGGATATGGATGCCACTTCTTAAAAATGTCTGGAAGTAAATTTAGGGGTATTTTCTTTGGGTGATAGTGGATCTACACAGATCATTAGAGGATATACGACGAAGAGTTTACCGATCGGTAATATGAGACTCCTAATCAAAAAAACGATCGGGATGTTAGAAACATCTAAAGGATACAACTTTTCCGGAGTCGCGAAGCAATCGAGAAGGGATCTTGATTGGATGTGACGCTCCAGATGCACGCTAAGTTTTGGAACAACGTTTGGTGTCAGTGCGCAACTCAGTTGGATGATTATTGATCCTTAAATAACGAATAAATCAGCGCAGCAAGTTGAGCGGCAGAGGTGTTTTCCAAACTAATTAGAAGTGGCCTAATGAAATGGTCACTCGGTCGCAACCAGATGTGACCTAAAGAGCAAACGCATCTCATAGGCTAAGAAATGGATCAACTTCATAGGATTAGAGTGGTACATATAAGAATGAGTATTTGTACATTTTATTCCTTAGTCCGGAACACTTTCTTGCTCAGCTAGTCGGTTGGAGGTTAGAATGTAGCACACCGTGTTTCGGTATCTTATTTGGACATGGCTCGTCACAACATGTGTGACATTACCTATTTAGTGACATACGCCTGTTACCCCTCGTGTAGGAGCATAAGTTGCCGACCAGGCCTCTTGGGTCAACTCCGTCATAGGCTTTCACTTTCAGTTGTTTCCGACTGCTATGCATTCTTATGATGTCTAACTCTAATTCCCGACTGCCCCCAAATGCCCTGGTACGGCCGAAAGTGGGGAGAGTCCGCTCTCCCTCTCGAAATACTCTCACATGGCCATGCGTATATAGCCTCTGCCAGGGAAGTCCTACTCACTGCCTTCTCGCACCATGGGTGTTGTTTACAAAAATGAGAGGACGAAAAGCGAATGTCCGGCGCTATAACCGGATCCCAATTCAATGGTGCACATGGGCTCCAGTATCCTGAAGGAACAAATGACGTATGAACCAATCGTTGGTCACCGGCTACCATATGACTGCATCTCCTTACAATGCTCCACTACCTTGTGGGTCAGACGTTCAGGTCAAAGGCTCCGGGTGTGGCCCCCCTAAGAAAACCACCTGCTTCGGTTTGGGCACCAGGGCAGTATCACAGCCCTCACACAAATCAATTGAGATTTGTGTGGCTCATATGTATTTGGTGCCTCCCTGTACCTATACTTATGTGTTAAAATAAAAATA